TTGTTTGAAATTTCATCTTTTATCCTGTATTTTTTTTCCTTGATAAAAGTCATTAAAAAGCCATTTTCTCCAACAAATCATTGACACGAACTCTTTAAATACCTCAAAAAATATGTCTGCATCATGTATCATCAATATCAAATCTAAAACAGACTACACGTATAGATTTACTATTTTTAAACTTCTTGCTTTTTTCCCCCCCATCATCTAATAATCATACATTTGCTTTGATATTCCCTGAAAACAATGGTTCCATTTGCAGGGAACTGATAGATAACTATTATCACATGCTTTCAAACACGATCTCATTATCTATTTTCTCGGTCTCCAATCATCATAATCGATTGAACGCATTTCCATCACCAATTTACTTAAAAGATCCAGTCTTACTCTCGTCCCCCATCTGGTTTTAAATGGATTGACAAAAGAACGCATTTGGCTGTAATGGTTTTGCATCATATGAAAGCAAACTAAGCGTTTAGAGCTGTGTGTAGTTCTTTCTCTTACTGTTGTTAAATGAAGTATCACTGATAAACAAAGAATGCATGTGTTGTGCTATTCGAGTAAAAATGTGATCGCAGAGAAGAAAAATGACGTAAAAGAAGCGTCGCCTATTGTTTTGCCAGTTTAAAAGTACTGATTCTAACTGCAAATGTAATAAACACTTTATTGGCTTCAGTGTTGAAAAATATTGAGAAGGAAAATTGGTTGATTTTTAAAAGTCTTACAATAGGTGAATGTTTCGCTTTAAGGCTGTTTTTCGAAAGTTCGGTCGTAACATTAAATGATGCTTTTTTGCGAATAATACATCATTTTTATAACTGATGTGAGTTTTCAACTGTTGCTCATGACAATTAGGTAAAGCTTAGCCTATCTAAAGTCAGTGCTGTCTACTCTTTTTTTAGCAAAGGGAGCAAAACGTCAATATGGGGAAAAGCCACAGTTCTGCGAGATTGAAAAGCGTTTGTGATCTAATTTTTTATTGCTTAAAAACGCGCTTCTATGCTGCATTACTTGGGCTCATAAAAATTTGCAAAAACTGAGAATAAGGCAGCGATTTTGATAATTTTTATCTAGGTTTAAAAGTGTAGTGAAATTGAAGATTTTAAAAAAAGTTTCATAACTTTAAAAATATTTAAGTTAATTGTCTGCAGTAAAGCTCAGATAATTCTTTACTGTAAGATTATATATATAGTCCAAAATTATCGCATTGCTTCAAGTGTAAGGCACTTAAACTATTGCATTTTTATTTTCCTTGGTTTCAAGATATATTTGAAAAACAGCGTCAATTGCTTATTTAATCGAAAAAAGCTAAATGGAGTATAAAAGTATTTAGTTTTCAAACTAAACAAAAAAAACATGTTTATTATTAAAATAATTTTTTTAAACTTTTTATGCATTCGGCAAGTCTTCTGCTAATGTTGTTAATTCTTGATTACAACATATATATATATATATAAGGATTCATTTAATAATTTCTTTATATTAATGTTCTTATAAAATGCCTCTACATCGTAAGAACGATATTGTCCACTGCTCCGTTGGAAAAAAACGTGATTTAACACTAGAAAGGCTGAACATTGATGTATACCTTGAAAGATTGAAAAGTCCAGAGTTGTACATTTAGTTTATTCTGTGTAAATCAATTAAACATCCAAAATCTTAAAATATAATCGTAATTAATTTAATGAAAACCTATTACAGACTTGATCGCCGAAATTATATGATATTTTAAACGATTTCGTTAACTAAAATATTTGATTAAAAAGAACACGAATTTTTCAATACATTGACTTATATCATACATTAGTTTTAGATAGTTGAGTTTCCTTTTCTAATAATCTAATTACAATTTTCTAATACTTATAAATATGTTGAAATACTTTTGTTTTTTATTGAAACTGGGTTACCCTGTACTTACCAAAGGGTATCTTACACCCACACCGACCTGGGGTTATGATTTTTTTACCAAAATAACTAAAGGGGCCACTCTGGTCCATTCCGTCATTATATATATTCGTTTCTATAAGGCTAACGTGTGAATGATTAAACGAAAACTCGAATTGAATCAAGTACTGGAGGGTCAAAAGACTCAACAATTTCAATAAGTAACTTTTTGAATTACAAATCAAGAAAGAATTATATTGGCCAAATAGGCTTGATCTGTCGTTCTAGTGCATAAGATTTCAAAAAGATAATTGTTTAATCTTTCATCTCATTCCAGATAAGTGAATACGCATGCTTGATTCGGCTCAATTTGAGCCAGATTGAGCCCGTGGTAGTGAGCAAGATGCTGATTACTCTTAGCTAATGAAATATTTAGCTGTATTATTTAAATTAATGCATATAACAGAGAAAAAAACTAAAATTTTTAAGCGAAGTTTTAATCAGTATATCGAAACTATTAAAAAAAAGTAATTTACTGCAAAAGAAAATTATTTCCGAGTATATACAACAACATGATTGGAATAGGTTTCAAGTGGTGGTAGACAAGAAAAGAAACAGATGCCTTAATTGAATTACTTCAAACAATCTAGTTTAAAAAATTAAATTCATCTTTAACATCGAGTACAAATTGAAGAGCAAAAGATCTACAGTTGCTTCCAACTTCATCTTAAAGTTAGTTTGCTTCGAGCTAATTGAATTTGGTCGGAGGAGGATTTTAATTTGCAGCAAATTTAAGAGAATTAGAAAAAGGAGAAACATGGAAGAATGTGAATTCTTTTGGGTGAAAGATAACTGTTTTTTGCCTTTTGTGGTTTCTTAGGGCATTTCAGAAACAAGGCACTAACTAGGCGATATTTTTAAATTGCGCTGTGCTAAATCATGTATTTTCAAAAACAAAAATTTTACGTTGCAAATGTTCGGGAATTTTAAACGTTTAGTAAAAGTGTCCCTTCTTTGATTATTTATCCAATTAACTACCGAATTTTTATAAACAGTGATAAATGATTTTTACATGAATGTAGCATAAATTTATACTGAATGACTACTTTTTCTCTTATTCATTTATCTTATTTCTTTTGAAAGACGAGCATATATGCTAAATTTGTAAGCATATAAAAATTTTATTATAAATATATTATGGTAGATAAAAGTGTTTTGCTCAGACGAATTTCAATAAGGAAATTATGTTATCATAATCCACTTTTTCAAAAATTAACTTGATATTGACTATACTCCGCTGGAAGAACCATTGCGGTTTTGGATTTAAATAATCTTCCGCAACTCCATATAGTTCCAGTTTATTTAGTTATCAAATTGTACAAATTTGCTTTCAAAGCAATTTAAAAGCTTTTAAAAGTTAAACATGTCAAATTGAAATTTAATTCTTGCTATCTTCTGCGATATATATCACAGAATTAGTAAGAAAAATTTGTATTTTCGAAGTTTTTCTCGATTACTAGACTTGGTGACATAGTTCTATAAATAAGAACATTCGTTCTTGAAAAAGAAACAACTATATGACGTTGTAAGAGCATTGGATTTAATTGAACCACTAAAAATAGCGTGTCTTATGCTGACTTGGCCTTAACAAATCAATTGCGAGACATGTAATTTTTACTTTTGTTTCACTGTAGAAGAAAATCGTCTGCAAAGAAACAATTTTTATTATTTTTCATTAATTTCTTTAGATACGAATAGAAAGACGTATAATTGTGTCAATTTTCGAATATTATGCAATGATTTTTAGATTCATGCAACGTTCTACAGTTATTTCTTTTTTAAGAACGGATGTTCTTATTTATTGAAATCTGTCGCCAAATCAAGTATTCCAGCAAAACTTTGAAATTATAAACTTTTTTTTAATAATTCCGTGACATATATCGTAAAAGATAGCACGAAAGAAATTTCTGTTTGACGTGTTTGACTTAAAAGTGCTTTTACATTGCCTTGAAATCGAATTTATATCATTTAATAACGAAATAAAACAGAACTATATGCTGTCCCGGACGATTTTTAAAATGCTATACGGCAATGGTCTTGTATTAACTTGCAACGAAGTATAATTGCATAAAGAGTTATCTAAAGAAATCAAGAAAAAAAAAAAAGCACTTCACTTTTTTTATGCATGAAAGATTGATGTGTTGAAAAGTTTTAATTTAATGATTTAATATTATTGCTAAATATCAGACTTAAACCGCTAAATTTTTTCCATACTCATAAAATTTACTTTCAACCTATTCAAATCTGATTCTCTAGACTACAAATAAGTTTGATTTATAATTCATTGAACATACGATTCAAGAAAATATCTGGCATGTTTCAGTTACGAGTTCAGAGAGATGCGAAAGTGAGTTAGCACAAAACCGTTCTGATTTTGTATGAAAAAAGGCAACAAACAATTAACTTGGTTTACAGTGGTGTTTTGAAATCGCCAACCTTCATATATATTTTCAGAATTTTTGTCAAAGATGAAATCGTAAAATTATTAATCTTTGGAATTGGTAGTGAATTTTTAGGAGAAAAGAGAACAAAATCGCTGTCCGATTTCGATAAACTACGGAGCAAATATTACACAAAATAACCAAACCAGTGTCAGATGAAATTATTTAAAATTTTATTTTAAAAACCGATCTTGAGAAGTCAACTCAATTTTGAGTTCACGACTACCAACAATGTTTAACTATGTATACTCCGTGTCATTTTAAACCCCTGACCAGAGGGCAAGGTAAGTCCTGGAACAAGCATTGGAGCAAAATAGTCTTCGTGGAGAGGTTTTTTACTAATTCGCATCTTCGTTACATGGAGGCGTTACTCCATGGTTTTCGACTGTAAGCAGTTACTAACCCATGATCTATTACATGGTATTTTATGTCAACAATGTAGTTGGTGCGAGCCTGGCTCATATTGCGTATAAACCAGCCAACGCTGGAAATCGAACCTGGATTTCCTGATTAGGAGACGAGGGAACTCTATCCTCTGAGTCATCGCAGCTCGATCGGGACGATAGTTACAAAATCTACGAGGAAGGAGGGTTGATAAGAAAGTTTTCTTACCTTGCACAGATTTTCCTATGGAGTAGAGTAGTGCAAAGTCTGGATGTTCCCTGCTGATGTCATGCAGCAACTTGGTCATCTGTTCATAATTGTGGTAACTGAAGTCTATCTGTATGCCTCTTACTTGTTGTATGGCACTGAGGTAGAGGTAGAAAAGAAACACAACAAAACCCGAGGTGTACCAGATTGCTGGCTTCATCACAGCTTGGTGCTCTCTCACTGAAATATGCAAATTAACATGTGATCATGTTGATTTTCTCAATACAAACAGCAATTAAAATCAGAAATAGTAAGTGTTCTATTAAAACCTATACGCATTTTGTTATCGCAATGGTGTATCTTCACCAGTAGGATAAATAACAGGAATGGTTAAAACAGAAATTGTAATTCGACAAAGGTTACACCATACTGAAGATATAAATATACAGTTTAAACATTAAAGTAGCATAAAATTAAATATTAAAATTCGATTAAATCATCTCTGTTTTATCATCTCTGTTTTATCATCCGCATCATCTATCTTACCGTTGAAGGTGCACCGTTATAACGCCTATAGGATAAAATAAAGAAAATTTACTATTTGTGTATTACGCTGTTTTTAATGAAATTAAAATACGTTATGCTTCATAATATGCATGATAAGTTGCGTAACAAGATACAACTTAAGTATTACTTCATCATGCAGTTTGCAAAGAAGAAAAGAAATATAATTTTAAAACTGCTTAATGCGTACTAAGCGTACGTTTTATATTTCGTTAGGTAGAACCTTTCAAGTAAAATGTCGATCCATTTTCGATTAGCTAGAGCTTTTAAATCTTTTCTGGAGCTCTTTTCCTTAAGGCAAATTTTAATTGTTTCTTCCCCACCACAAAAATATGCATCGTCAAAAAAATCTTTCCTAGATTATATAAAGTGCCCAAATTGCACCTGGAACTTAATATCTTAAATACCATTTTAAAGTTTGTAGGGAAGGAAAAGATATTTTCTTTGTCAGACCTAAAACTATAAAATATAAATGGCATTACTTGTTTTCTATTATTACTAAACTCCTCCTCACCTCCTTTGAAAGTGATTCCCACCCCTTCATTTTAGATTTACGAATGACAAAGAAAAAAATTTTCTTCGTTTTTAATATACTTTTCAGTAAGACCGAGGTTTTAAAATTGTATTTTTTTTCATAATGTTTGTTTTAATGTTATATTTTTAATCACTTTTTCTTTCTTGGTTGTTTTTTTTAATAGCATTTGTTTTTGGTCGCTGTTCTTTTAATCAATGTTTGTTTTTTAGTTTCAATCCTATTATTCGTTAGTATTTAATCTTAAGGAAAAAGTATTCATTAATATTTAAGCTTTCTTATGATGCCTTTATTTACTTATTCCTTAACCAGTGTTTTCTTTTCATATTACTTTTTTAAAAGAATTTCGGCAATTTATCAGACAAAATTGCAGAAATTTTCACCTTGAATCCATATAATCTTGAAAAATACATCATCAAATTCGCCAAGTCTCGAGTAATGAGCGATAAAGAATATAAGAACTAAGAGTCAATTTTAAATTTAGATTATTCCACTAACTGTTTTTGTTTGTCACAACTAGATTATTCCACTAACTGTTTTCGTTTGTTGTTTTGTTTGTTGTTTTTGTTTTTTAAAAATTAAACTGGAGAACAAATTTTTTTTTCATTCTTTGAAATGCTTAATCTTGCCAAATTCGGGTGTGGGGACTTGAAACATGAAATTAGTTTTGCTCCTCAGCCTATAATTTCTTTAAAATTGTCCTTTTTTCCCATTGCAGATGAAATATACAAGTTTTGAAAGCATTATATATAACAGGGGGTCACTTAAATGTTGTGTTTAATATCGCAAGATTATATTACATTGGAACCCAAGACCGGAAATGTCGTCGTGTGCAGCTAGGAGCACTTCCTAATATGATCTGTTCTGAAGCACACGACGTTCATAATTAGGAAGCACAGCCGAGCGGTGTATGACGACCTTGCTATGCCTGGTTTGTCAAGCAATTTTATTCTTAATGTTGTGCCTTAACTGCTTCAAAAATTCGTGGTAACATTTACATGTCCCCCTGTTATAAGTAACTTTTTTAAACTTGCAAGTTTCGACTAGTGATAGACTAAACATGTAATTTGAAAAAAAACTATATATTGGAAGTTTGAAATCATCGGCATGTAAATATCCAAGATCCGTTGAAATATCTCATGCAACAGAAAACAAAAAAACATGTTCGCCAGTGTTATCTTTTAAATTTTAAGAAAAAATTCTATGTCAGCCATTATAATTCGAAATCCTTTCGGATTATTCCCCAAAGAATACCAACTGTAAAATAGCAATTGAATATTTTATTAGATTACTCTGTAGAACGTTAGTTAAAAAATTAAAAGATAGTTTAACTTTTAAAAACGTACAAGTATGTTTTTCTTTTAAATTCAAAAGAAGAAACTTTAATAAAACAAATTTTGAAAAGTTTACGGATCCCCATAAAATGCAAGATCATTAATTTTTAAAATGTTTTTATGCATCCATTGATAAAAATTAATCTAATAAATAAAGCTTTACACTCGTAAGGTCATTAAAAATACCGTTAAAAATGATTGATTTTTTAATCATTTTCAAATTTCTGCAATAAAAACTGAAGTTAACTGCAGTCATTATGGTCAGGATGTAAAGAAGTTATAAATAAATCATGTTTCATCTGTTTAAAGTGGTTTATTTTTCTTTTAAAAAAATGTAAAAAAATAACTTTTATTTCTATAATGTGTTTCTTATGTTAATAAAAAATCAAAATTCCTCTCTTTTTTTTTTAATTTTTTAAACATAATCACAGCTGTGCGTGCTTGTTAATATTTACTCTTAAGTGCTTTTTTTTTAAAAGAAAAAAAGATTTTTAGTTTGATTTGTTCCTTAGAATAACATATCTCAAATTATAGCAAGTCTTCATGTTTTTATAGTCGGTTGCACAAATTAGATAGATATTTGAATCAAGATATAAATTTAAATTTTCAGTTTGTAGTGTTGCTTTAAATAAACGAAAACCATTCTATAAAAGGAAATAAAACTTTAATTTCGTGGAAAGTGTATGTTAAATATGCACGATACAGATTAAAAATCATTCTGTCGCTTGCCACCATTTAAAGAACTCTGCTTAAGATATTCTATAAAGAGAGTAGTATTTTTTTTCACTTAAAATCTTGACTCTAAATATGCAACACTGAATATTAACACTGTGATAGCGAGTTCTCAAAAGTGATTATTTCCTGAGGGAAATTAATATTTAAGTAAAATAAATTATTTAAACAGAAAGCATAACTTCAATTTATCTGTATTTATTTAGATGCAAGCTTTAAATTTACAGAGATAAACTAACTCTTAGCAAATTTCCATCTTTACCAATCTATAATTTAAAAATGAAAATCATGAATTATTCTCTCTAAAGAGAATTATGAACTTGACATGCTATTAAAACAATCCAGTGTATAAATTATGGTTGAACGGTGGTTTGCATAGACTTAATTCCTAGAGTAGCTTCACCATATAATCTTCTTATACACTTCATATAATCCAAATCCTAGATAAATTTCAAACAGTGTTACTTTATGAATAATGATTCGACTCCTAGACCAAACATTTCTTCATGCATATTAGGGCAACAGAAGAAAAGCACTCTTATATATTTTAAATGTAAATGAGAAATGAATTTTAAAGGGCTGGTATAGCCAGATTGGATAGCTGGTATAGGGTGCGTGGATTTCTATTCGTGAGAACTGGAGTTCAAATCCAGCATGCCGAAGACTCCCCGTGTAATAAATGGTGACTGGTACGCGTTAAATCTGTTGGGTTACAAAGGCCTCCTTGTTGCCATAGCAAATTATGCCTTGGGGGTACTGGATTGGAGATTGATCGTTCTCTGGATCAGGTCAAAATTACGATCTGTCGATGAATGAATGGATACATGAATGGGTCCGCCCTATATGCGGGTGGGACGTGCGGGTGTATCAGAAGTGGAATTCATGGCTATAGATGGCTCCACTGGAAAACAAGAATAACCGTACCCCTTGCCTTAATGGCATACAAAAACAACAGATGAAGTTTAAGGTTTTCAATATATGAATAAAATAGTCTCTAGATGTCTCAAAACCAGCAAAATTTGGTAATGCATTACAACATTTTTTAGTCATTTGGCACATAATTATGGCACATAATTATATCTTGAATAGCCTTGCTCTTTAAAAATTATAGTTTGTTGAAAAATATCCTTCAGTTAAGAATACACTGTTAGGATTTTCTTTCTAAAATTATAGTAAAACAACCGGCAGCTTTCCGTCCATCAAATTAATTACCATACCATTAAATACCATTCATTAATTATCAATTGCATTACCATACAGTTTATGGTAAAATGGAGGAATCAGTGTGGTGTCAAAGCTGGGAATCGAACCTCCATTCTGTACTTTGCCTTCTCGGCTATAATATGTACCCGTCTACAAAGATCTCAGTGTTTTCATTGAATGTGTCTAGTTGGTGCTGTAAAATTCTGGTTGTTTAACCGTATTATGCGAAAACAGTTAATAAACGTTTTTTCTCCCAGTTAACAGTTTGAATAACATCTTATTTACGGTCATTAACTGTTTTTCTTGAGTGTGGCAAAATAAAAATTAAATAAATTTTGCTTTTTAACCATTTTTTCTGAGAAATTTCGAACAGTTTATTATTACAATCTTGAGAAACGTTATCATTTGATTGAAACATTTTAATATTATTATGCAATGTGGCCACTTCAACTACCATATTTCAAAATTGTTAGGTTACAGATTTCAATAGTGTTAACAAATACGACTTATTTTAAGTTTTACTTTATAATAAAAATCAAACTCTCAAAATTCTAGTACCATTTTCTTTTTTATTCTAACTGTTTTTTCAAAAATTCTTTGTGGCTACTGGTTAACATTTCTCTCGTTTATTCGTTTTATTGGCTTCTTCCCAAAATGCGAATTTCTAGACCAGAGGAACGTTTCCTTATAATTACAGCTGCAATAAACATGAATTCGTGAACTATAATCCTTGTATTATTTACAGTATTTAGAGGTAGATTTTGCGTAAATGCTTATTTCGAGCAAAACTATTATTAACAAAAAGGAAATTTTCTTTCGGAAATTTTTCCAAAAATTTCCATATTCTTACCATATTCTAATAAATATTTAAAATT